CATGATATTCTCTTAACTCATTTAAATAAGTACCGCCTTGTTACCAACATCGGAGAAGGCGTGTTTGCAGAGGGGACTGGTTTATATAGCTAGATAGCTACTCTACTGGTGCCAAAATCGTTCAAAACTCTGATGCAGTTGTCATGTCAACATGTCTGTGCTGCTGTGAACAGCATCACAAGAGAAATGCGAAATGGGAGATGTATATAAAAAAAATTATGGACATAATTGATGCAATTTCAATTTTGTTTTGAGTTGCTTTGTGTATCCTACATTTTCTTGAGATGATTTTAATGCAACACTGCATCCAAGTTTCTTGGCGTAGTCAAGGTGAGCTCATGAATATAAGCTCCCCACCCACTCAGCCCGTCATTTCAAAGTTCCGGGTGATATTTTAGTCACTCAAAAGGTTATTTTACATGGGAATCAGAATGACTGTTCGGAACCTTTAAGTCCCTTTTCTGAGGCTCTCTGAAACAAGAAGATTGGACAGAGAGACTTAATGGGCTATTGTTGGCAGCAGATTTCTCCCTTATGAGTCCTACATTTTACAACCAACTGTCACGATGACAAGACCTCCCCTCATCATGACTGAGGAAGACCTCCCCTCATCATGACTGAGAAGACTCCTCCTCAAGGTGTTGCTCTCCTGGAACAAGACAAGACCTCCCCTCATCATGACTGAGAAGACTCCTCCTCAAGGTGTTGCTCTCCTGGAACAAGACAAGACCTCCCCTCATCATGACTGAGAAGACTCCTCCTCAAGGTGTTGCTCTCCTGGAACAAGACAAGACCTCCCCTCATCATGACTGAGAAGACTCCTCCTCAAGGTGTTGCTCTCCTGGAACAAGACCTCCCCTCATCATGACTGAGAAGACTCCTCCTCAAGGTGTGCTCTCCTGGAACAAGACAAGACCTCCCCTCATCATGACTGAGAAGACTCCTCCTCAAGTGTTGCTCTCCTGGAACAAGACAAGACCTCCCCTCATCATGACTGAGAAGACTCCTCCTCAAGGTGTTGCTCTCCTGGAACAAGACAAGACCTCCCCTCATCATGACTGAGAAGACTCCTCCTCAAGGTGTTGCTCTCCTGGAACAAGACAAGACCTCCCCTCATCATGACTGAGAAGACTCCTCCTCAAGGTGTTGCTCTCCTGGAACAAGACAAGACCTCCCCTCATCATGACTGAGAAGACTCCTCCTCAAGTGTTGCTCTCCTGGAACAAGACAAGACCTCCCCTCATCATGACTGAGAAGACTCCTCCTCAAGTGTTGCTCTCCTGACATAGATGAAAATTAGCCAGCTGGCTAAAACCGGCACTTTCACAGAAATGTTGATAAATGTGCACTTTCCCTGTAAAAATGTACTTAATAAAGTAGAAGCGTGTACGTTTTTAGAGAATGCAAAAAAATTAAATGTGCCTCATCAATACATTTTCTAAGGTAGGCACAGTTGTGTGTGCTTGCAGTTATTCTCCCTAGACAGTCCAAGTTGATAGAGGTCTACAGTGAACATGAAAACCTCCACCCACAAAATGTCAGCAACTCACCAGCAGAGATGCCTCTTCATCATGACTGAGAAGTTGCGTCCTCAAAGTGTTAGTCTCCTGGAACAAGCCACTGCTCCTGAAATACTGTAGATGGCGTCGTTCTCCACCACTAGATGTGAAATGAAGCCAACGTATATCAAAGTGACTTCCACATATAAGGAACTGGGTAACATTGACATCCCCAATAAGCTCTTCTTCTAAAGACACAAATAGTCAATTATCTGATTCTTGAAAATAATATTGCCAACACACATTTAGTGATTTTGAGGTTGACTTGTGAGTTGTAACAGTTTAGTTCAACATGGAGAAGGGATCATAAGACCATGCTGCTTTAGGGACACTGCTGGAAACATACATGCATCACTTGTGAATACACATGTATGAAGTTATCAGACCAAGCAATAACAGCTAGTTTACATTCATTTATGTGTTGAAATGAATGCCATTGGCACCAGTCAGATCATCCACATTCTTAACGTTAACAGAATTCAGCAAACTCTGTAAGAATATGAAATATTAAATAACACATTAGAAAAGCTGCATTGTTCATCCCAGTCACACATTTACCTGCAAACCTTTTCACCTCACAGGTGTCAGAGGAACACCTTAATGTGTTAGTGCAAGTGTCCTTTTCAGAAAAGACAAAAAAGCACTTCCCTTTTGACTGTAGAATAACTCCGTGTTCAAAACAGAAATATATGGATGCAGTGTCTTTTTTAATATCGCCACAAAAAAGGAAGAAAAAAACAAAACAAAAAATAGATTCAACTGAAAAATATATTTTTCAAAAAGAAAAACATGATCCATTGTAATAGGTTAACTCACCAATTAGTATACTCTTATTTAGAAAATGATTATTTCTAACAAAAAAAGGCTTGTAAAGGTAGTTTAGTTTGTCAACGAATACGTTGTTCAACGGTGAAGACAAAATAAGGCTAGCAATAATCAAGCTGTATTCACTCTTTACAGCAAGACCAGGCATCAAGAGTTAACCAACAGGAGGCCAAGGGGATCTGCAAAATACACCATTCAAAGACTAAACCCTTAACACAAATAAATAAAAATTATATATTTTGTCCCGCTATTTCACTGAATCCTAAAAAGACTAGGCTACTCATTCTTGTGTACCAATTTCTGAACTAGTCCAAGAAAAGCTAGTGTAGCCTCCCATTGCATTTTTTTGATACAGTACGCTACGCCTAATGAATACGGACCGAGGACTTGAATCTCCGGGTAGGCTTGTTGACTCTGTTCTAGGGTGAGTAATATAATGTACGTCTACTGACTTCAGGGAGACCTAAAAACTAGTCTTACATTAAGGAACCTTTCACATTCCAAGTACGGTCTTTGGATCAATGTAGCATTCAGTCATTTGAAAACACACTTTTTTAAACTGTGAAACTATTGTTGATAAAGGCAGCCCAATGTACGAAGGTAAAGTATGGCATAGTATGACTTTGCTTGACCTATATAAAAGTCTGAGTGTGTATTAGCAGGTAGGACTACTTCAGGCCAGAAAGAAAAGGATTTAAAACACAATGTCTTCCCTACAGCTGAGGCAGAGGTCAACCAGAACCAATAGTACAGCTGAGACAGAGGTCAACCAGAACAAATAGTACAGCTGAGACAGAGGTCAACCAGAACCAATAGTACAGCTGAGACAGAGGTCAACCAGAACCAATAGTACAGCTGAGACAGAGGTCAACCAGAACAAATAGTACAGCTGAGACAGAGGTCAACCAGAACAAATAGTACAGCTGAGACAGAGGTCAACCAGAACCAATAGTACAGCTGAGACAGAGGTCAACCAGAACCAATAGTACAGCTGAGACAGAGGTCAACCAGAACAAATAGTACAGCTGAGACAGAGACCAACCAGAACAAATAGTACAGCTGAGACAGAGGTCAACCAGAACCAATAGGCAAAGTGATGCAGAGTAGCTGGAGCTTGTTGCCAATCTTGTCATTGATTTGTCATTTTAATGTGTGCATCAGGCATTTTCTGTTATTTTTTCAGTTAGGCTACATCCTGTCCAGACTGAAGCTACATCCTGTCTAGACTGAAGCTACATCTTGTCCAGACTGAAGCTACATCCTGTCCAGACTGAAGCTACATCCTGTCTAGACTGAAGCTACATCTTGTCCAGACTGAAGCTACATCCTGTCCAGACTGAAGCTACATCCTGTCTAGACTGAAGCTACATCTCAATGTCCGCAGACTGAAGCTACATCCTGTCCAGACTGAAGCTACATCCTGTCCAGAACTGAAGCTACATCCTGTCCAGACTGAAGCTACATCCTGTCCAGACTGAAGCTACATCCTGTCCAGACTGAGGCTACATCCTGTCCAGACTGAAGCTACATCCTGTCCAGACTGAGGCTACATCCTGTCCAGACTGAAGCTACATCCTGTCCAGACTGAAGCTACATCCGGTCCAGACTGAAGCTACATCCTGTCCAGACTGAGGCTACATCCTGTCCAGACTGAAGCTACATCCTGTCCAGACTGAAGCTACATCCTGTCCAGACTGAAGCTACATCCTGTCCAGACTGAAGCTACATCCTGTCCAGACTGAGGCTACATCCTGTCCAGACTGAAGCTACATCCTGTCCAGACTGAAGCTACATCCTGTCCAGACTGAGGCTACATCCTGTCCAGACTGAGGCTACATCCTGTCCAGACTGAAGCTACATCCTGTCCAGACTGAGGCTACATCCTGTCCAGACTGAAGCTACATCCTGTCCAGACTGAAGCTACATCCTGTCCAGACTGAGGCTACATCCTGTCCAGACTGAGGCTACATCCTGTCCAGACTGAAGCTACATCCTGTCCAGACTGAGGCTACATCCTGTCCAGACTGAAGCTACATCCTGTCCAGACTTAAAAGTCCAATGCAGCCGTTTTTATCTCAATATCAAATAGAGGCTATATAGCAAGGATTTGTTTGAATCTCTTCTCAGAACAAGTCTCAACTACAAAGAATTCTGAAAGTTCAGTAAGAATCCACCTTGTGTTGCACTTCATCACATATAACAATGTCAATCATCATTTTCAGGCAAATCTGCATCTGGCTTTTGACAGAGAGATCCGACTCTTCCTCAGACTCCTTTCCCCTTGTCAGCAGGTCGTTTTCTTCTTCCTGGACAAGATGAGGGGATTGCCGTCTTGCATCTTGTTTTTTTTCCTGAGATCTCAGTCAGAATTTTCTTGAAGCAAAAGGAAGTTATTATATTTCCCTGGGATGAAGCAGATCAGAGGCTCTCCAGCATGTCACAATGAAGTTCTACTCGTCTGACTTCATAAAATTGAATATTAACATGTCAATTTCTTTATTTTTCCTTAAATCCAATGTTCTTTCTGTTAGGCTACTTCTGTCAATTGGTATTTTGTCTCAAGTGATGCTGCAGTGACCTTCTGGTTATATCTGTGAAGTTGGCTTGATTTCACTTTCAAAAGGACCACTTTCTTGCAGCCGGTAGTGGTGACTGTGGGAGGCTTAATACATTTCCAGTCAGAATATTACTGGGTGTTGATCCATCTTTGTTCAAATGCTCTTCAGATGTGCTGACGGTATCTTGGTCTTCGCAGAAATAAACCAATTTGACCTCTGAGTGAAGATCTGACTCCTCCTTTATGCAGATGTCAGCAGGTCCATTATCCTGGCCAAGCATTGTTGCTTCATCAGTGGAGATTGTTTCAACTGTGTCCATAGCGATAGTGTCTTTACCATGATGAGGATTTACCAGTCTTGCATCTTGTTCCATATTTTTTTCGGGAAAATAATCTGAAAGCGCAGTTACTTTCAATCACACTCGGTATTATGAACACTTCTTTAGAGATTTCTCCCTTTCCCAAGAGCTCAGGTTTGTGTTTCTTAACCATTCTTTTCACTTTACCATTAATACATAATTGAAATTGTTTACGTCTCTGATTTTGCAAACTAAGATCAAAATTGTATTCTAGAATATCATAGAGAATACACCCAGAACTTTTGGCTTTTTTAGGATAATAAGATTTTAGGTTAGCATATTTATCCACCTCAAATATTACACAGTTTGTCAGTAGCTGAAATTCCAGTTTCTTTTTAGGTTTGGTGGATGCAACATCAAGGTCCAGACCTATTTCCTTGCACAGTGGGTAGCACTCTTTCGCCACTTGTTTGGTGTTAGACGTCACATTTGATTGGTCTAAGTTGGGGACAACAATTTGCTTTTTTTCATCAGTACAAAGTGCAAGGTCAGTCTCATCAGAGATGCTCTCCATCTTGACACAATGAGGTTCTACTTGTATGACTTCAAAATCACCTCCCTCTGTCTCTCTGGTTAGTATAATATAATAATAATATGCCATTTAGCAGACGCTTTTATCCAAAGCGACTTACAGTCATGCGTGCATACATTTTTTTGTGTATGGGTGGTCCCGGGGATCGAACCCACTACCTTGGCGTTACAAGCGCCGTGCTCTACCAGCTGAGCTACAGAGGACCATGTCCAGTTCTTTCTTCTTCCTCATTAAATCCAATCTCCTCCTTTTTGATACTTCTTTCATTTGGTATTTCGGCTCAAGTGATGCTGTAGTGACCTTCTGGTTACTGGACATCTCTGAATAACTATTTCGTTTGCGTGACTTCTTCAAGAAGAAAGCTTCATTTTCAAGTTCACATATCCATGGACCGTTTTTACCCATCTTGCGCTGCAAAACTGCTCTTAACCGTCCCATAATATCTTCAGCCAGCTCAGTTTTCCCACTTTGTAAATCCAGATCAAAATTATGCTCGAGAACCTCACACACAATCTGCTTCCAATTTCCACACACTTGTGAGGCAAAAATCAGCCAATTCAAAACATTACGTCTCTGGTCAATAGATGCAAGTGAAGTTTCTGTGTTTTCCCATATTTTGATTTCACATCAAGGTCAAGTCCTTTTTCCATACAGATGGGGTAGAGGACCCTCAATGCTTCTTCTACAGTGGCCATTATTAAGGATTGGCCCATGTTACGTCTGTCTGAATGGTGAAGGTCTCCGTCTGGACATGTTGAGGAGAGACGATGTCCATACCAGGCTCATCCCTCGTGCAGATATCATTAGGTCCCTTTTCAGGGCCAAGGATTGCCGTCTCATCAGCACATCGTGTTCACGTCGGTCTCAGTAGAGAAGCTCTCAGTCGTCACATGCAGAGGAGATATCAGGTCCACAACAGGCTCCTCCTTTATGCAGGTGTCAAAAAAGTGTAGGACTTTCTGACACGCTGTTATGCAAATGGCACCGTGCCCATTTAAGAGATTTTGGAACAGGAAGTTCAAACACTTCTGTTAACCACTCAGGGTTTCTTCTCTTGGAATGCATCTTCAGCATGTCTTTTAATTTCCACATAGTCCGGCTTGAAAAGTCGGATCGTTCTTCATTTTGTACACCAAGATCATAGTTGTATTCTAGAATTTCACAGATAACATGCTTGTGAGATCTATTTATCTTTTTAGCATATTCAGACACCTCAAGCATTACACCAATTGTCAGTAAATGCAAATCAAGTTTTGCTCCATATCCAACATTGAAATCTACACCCATCTCCTTGCACTTGGCGTATGGATCTTTCCAATATTTCCCAAACTTTCTTAGGTTAGGTCTTGAGTAACTGCCACGACACTGCCGTAGGCATTGTAGTCTTCGTCTTAAATTGGCATTGTAGTCTTCTTCTTCATCAGAGGGAAAGTTCAATGGCTCACAATATTCTGGAAAAATAGGCCTAGTAGATACAGCTAAATTACAGCCGCTTGTTAGCACAGAAGGAATGGCAGTACTATGGCTTGGGATATTAACATAGTCAGCGGCCACTTGTGAAGTTGGGTTGATTTGAGCTTCAAAATAATCACTGAAGGTGGATACATTTCCTGTCAGAATGTCAGTGGATGGTGCTCCATGCCATGTCCCCTCTTTGATCGAATACCCATCAGCTGTTCTGATGATATCTTGCTCTTTACAGAAATAAACCACTTTGACAGCCCTATTTTCCCCATCACGTTCTCCTGTCTTTTCAGGAAAAATAAGTAAAATCTGCCCAGGACTTGTTGTTTGGGGACTGATGGTAGATACATGTGAATGCTCTTTCAGTAAACCCACATGGGAACCTGTTTCTGTGTTTCCTGACAATAGGGAACTTGGGTAATCTATCCAGGCATTAATCGAATCAGACCAAATGATTGTTTGGGATATCTCCCTCTCATCTTCCTCTATCTTAACGTCAACATCCATGTTGCATCAGTGTCTCTAGGGCCGTGATTGGGAGTCCCATAGGGCGGCGCACAATTTGCCCAGCGTCGTCCGGGTTTGGCCCGGTGTAGGCCGTCATTGTACATAAGAATTTGTTCTTAACTGACTTGCCTAGTTAAATAAAAATAAATAAAAGACAAACTAATCACAAAGCCCTGGTGACAATCATCTAAAGAGAAAGTGATAGGGCCCATCATTGGCATCGGTTTATATCTGATAGAAAAACAGAAGAGAACGTAAACCTCACTATTGCGCAACCATTCCCTGCAGCAATTGGTCCTTATGTTCATTTAATATTATATTTATATTTTAGTCATTTAGCAGACGCTCTTATCCAGAGCGACATACAGGAGCAATTAGGGTTGAGTGCCTTGCTCAAGGGCACATCAACAGATTTTTCACCTAGTCAGCACGGGGATTAGAACCAGCGACCTTTCGGTTACTGGCACAACGCTCTTAACCACTAAGCCACCTGCCGCCCCATATTGATCAATACTGTTATATACAACCCCAGTTCCTTGAGTGACAGCAGGATGATTTCAATTAAAGGACCAAAAAACTGAAGACAGTACAGTATGAACACTTTCATTTGACATTTTAGTCATTTAGCAGACGCTCTTATCCAGAGCGACTTTACAGTTAGTGAGTGCATACATTTTTTTTTCTCACTTTGATAAAATAGATGTCAGCAAGGTAACTATCTACTGCTAGCTAGGTATTATCATTTGCCCTCTATATAAGTTAGCTAGATAGCTAAGTGGCTGCAAACGCCTAAATCGTATTTAGAGTTCTAATGTTAGGTATTTTTTCTTGTAATTTTTTTTTTACTAACCAAACGTTAGCTAGCTAGCTACCGTTACCTTACTGGTGGTGGACTATTGCAAATCCCTTGGCCCCCATTATGTTGAAATTAAATTCGAGACAATAAAGAGGCCTTCCCAGATCTTTGGAGAAATATATCAAAAAACTTCGTCTGCTAGCTAGTATAGACTACAGAGCAGCATGTACCAGAGCGGAATGTTTACAGTGGCATTTTGTTGGTCGTTGCCACAGATAGAACAATGAGCAAGATATTTCACCGGATGTATAAATGTGAAGCATCCGGTTGATGTTTCCACTCACTACCAAAATATGGTGATGAGAGGAAGCACAGCTGCCGGCAGTGGAGAAGATGGAGCGAGATGGATTTTGGCCGACACTCTGCACATTTTCTCATCGATGAAACAGTTGATCTCAATACAGTTTTCTGTTTCCAAAATTGGAATCTGTTACGAACAGAGTGGACTAAGTTTTGTAGACTTTACCATTTGCCAAAGTTTCTCAAACTGGCGTTCTTTAGAAGGATTGCAAGGGCGAATTAAGTTATTGCACACGCGCATTTCACAGAGTAGGCGTTCCCCAACGGAAATATGCAAATAATGCTAGAACGCGCCAATAGGATCTCTCTGCTACCTCCATGCTTGTTTTGCCCGCTATGACTCATTTGCTCCTATTGGAAACGACAGGCAGTGTTCTATCTTGGTTTAGTTATAAAACATCTTTGTTATTCGGGGTCAGAGGGTTGTCGCTAGATAGATTACAGTTACGGACGGAAGTGACGCAAATATCGTCAATATCTACCATGCGATTTGGTCACGATTTGGTTTTTGTAGGTTTGCCAACTTTTTATGGAGTGACTCCGCGTCCTAGTGAAAACCTTTGGTACTGTTCATTTTACGCGCCGCGCAATAGGCCAGGGTTATGCCCAATTTCCACATAACACGATAATTTGTGTTTCACACAATTTTTGTTGTTGAATTGTTTGTGTATCGTTGTATTTTACATTTGTGTTACTGTCCTTGTGTTGTATTGTTTGTGTATCGTTGTATTTTACATTTGTGTTACTGTCCTTGTCTATCAGTGTATCAGTGTTTTGTTACTTGGCCAGGTTTCCCGGGAAAATATACAAAGAAAAAAAGACAAAAACATATAAAATCAGTCAATTTAAATAAATAAATTAGGCCATAATCTATGGGTGGCAGGTAGTTTAGTGGTTAAGAGTGTTGTGCCAGTAACCGAAAGGTCGCTGGTTCTAATCCACGAGCCGACTAGGTGAAAAATCTGTCGATATGCCCTTGAGCAAGGCACTTAACCCTAGTTGCTCCTGTAAGTCTCTGCTAAATGACAAAAAAATAAAACTTCTCATCTCTGTGTTTCAACATTTTAAGTCTGAGATTTTCGAGTTCCCAGTTGTTTTGAACGCAGCATGAGTACATTTACATTTTAGTCATTTAGCAGACGCTCTTATCCAGAGCGACTTACAGGAGCAATTAGGGTGAAGTGCCTTGCTCAAGGGCACATCGACAGATTTTTCACCTAGTCGGCTCGGGGATTAGAACCAGCGACCTTTCAGTATGAGTACCACAGTATGAATCATAATACCCATAAAACGTTTTGATAACCGCACAAATCTCTCTCGGACAAGGTAACTTTTTTCAGTATATTTCCCAAAATGAAATGCTAATTCGCTATCATACAGAACTGCACATCCTGTTGACATTTTAGTCATTTAGCAGACACTCTTATCCAGAGCGACTTACAGTTAGTGAGTGCATACATTTTCATACTGGCCCCCCGTGGGAAACTAACCCACAACCCTGGCGTTGCAAGCGCCATGCTCTACCAACTGAGCTACAGGGGAGCTTTGTTTGACAAATAAACAAAAAACTCCACATTTCTCCATGCAAACTCTCATCGACATGTAGTACGTAACCTAGCAAGTAAATATTATAGCCTTTTTAGTTTCTCGTGTAAATAATTTATATTGTGTATTTCTCATGTGTATTCTTGTATAGCATTTTTCAAATTACGTGCTTCTACATCTGCATTGCTTGCTGTTTGGGGTTTTAGGCTGGGTTTCTGTATAGCACTTTGTGACATCTGCTGATGTAAAAAGGGATTTATAAATACATTTGATTGATTGATTGACTTAGCTAGGTACCTTAGCATGTTTTTACTACTATATATTTTTTGAATACTAACCTTCGGTCTCTCCGTTGATCAGAAGCAAGGATGGTTCTGTGCTATGTACCGGATCGTAGCCACTACTCCGATAAACACACGTGCATGTGATCGTTTTCCAACCTCTGTAAGCATGAGGCATCGCTGGAGCTGTGTGATAAGGTATGCCCTATTTGCTAGCTGCTAACAAGCTATTTTGGTTAGGTCAAAGATCTGTAGTTAACTAGATGCTTTTGAAAATTAGCTAGATAACCACAACTGTGTACCACCGATGTTTACAACGCACGTTACCTACCTTACAAGCAAAGCTAGCTAGTTAACTTCAGCTCACGGTTTGTGTAGTCATACTTTTTCACGTGGTAACATGCTAGCTAGCTAATGTTAGACCACCAGGGCAGGGATATAGCTGGCTAAATATCACCTGGTGGGCTAGCTAGTTAGGCACCTTGTTTGGCTAGTTGGCTACATTAGCTAATGTTAGCTAGCTAACGTTGCACCGTATCTCACCGTGGTGTAGTCGGACTTTCCCAACAGGCAGTGACATGCTAGCGAATGTGCCTAACATTAGTGATTAGCACTAACTAGCTAACGTTAAATATCCCTACCCTGGTGGACTAGCTAGCATGTCACCACCCGTTTGTTCTGGGGAAAAGTTTGACTACACGAACAATGAGCTAACATAACTAGCTAGCTAAACTTTAACTAAATATCCCTGCCCTGGTGGGCTAAATTTAGCTAGCATGTCACCACGTGGAAAAGTGGGACTACACGAATGGTGAGCTAACATTGTAACAAGTGCAGGTTATAATTTATTACAGATAAGTCGATATTGTTAATGTAAAAAGTACAGGCCCCAGAATTGACCGCTGCGGCACACCTTTCGTAATATCCAGGAAACCTAATTTAACACCATCAGTAGAGATATACATTGAGCTCTATCTGTTAAGTAATTTTTTTAAACCAGTTACATGCAGCCAATTGAGGAAAGCCTCTGAATTAGCAGTAAGTGATCAACAGTATTGAACCTGTAATTTAAATTTTATTTGGATTTCATGTAATGGACATACACAAAATAGTCCAAATTGGTGAAGTGAAATGAAAAAAATAACTTGTTTCAAAACATTCTAAAAAATAAATAACGGAAAAGTGGTGCATGCATATGTATTCACCCCCTTTGCTATGAAGCCCCTAAATAAGATCTGGTGCAACCAGTTACCTTCAGAAGTCACATAATTAGTTAAATAAAGTCCACCTGTGTGCAATCTAAGTGTCACATGATCTGTCACATTATCTCAGTATATATACACCTGTTCTGAAAGGCCCCAGAGTCTGCAACACCACTAAGCAAGGGGCACCACCAAACAAGCGGCACCACGAAAGACCAAGGAGTCTCCAACGGCGGACAAATGTTAAGATCAGGTTGGGTTATAAAAAACATCAAAACTTGTCCCCGGAGCACCATAATCCTTATTAAAAAATCAAAGATCACCACACAAACGCCAGAAGGCCGCCCCCAAATCACGGTAGGCAAGGAGGGCATTATCGAGAGGCACAAAGAGACCAAAGATAACCCTGAAGGAGCTGCAAAGCTCCACAGCGGAGATTGGAGTATCTGTCCATATGACCACTTTAAGCCATACACTCCACAGAGCTGGGCTTTACAGAAGAGTGGCCAGAAAAAAGCCATTGCTTAAAGAAAAAAATAAGCAAACACGTTTGGTGTTCGCCAAAAGGCATGTGGGAGACTCCCCAAACATAACGGAAGAAGGTACTCTGGTCAGATTAGTCTAAAATTGAGCTTTTTGGCCATCAAGGAAAACACTATGTCTGGCGCAAACCCAACAACTCTCATCACCCCCGAGAACACCATCCCCACAGTGAAGCATGGTGGTGGCAGCATCATGCTGTGGGGATGTTTTTCATCTGCAGGGACTGGGAAACTGGTCAGAATTGAAGGAAGGATAGATGGTGCTAAATACAGG